TGTTTTTGGTTTCAAAGGTAAAGATGTTGACGTACTTGTAGGTCTACATTACAAAAAAAATTATTTTGGTCAATTGCAAAAGTAACCTGTGCGTTGACAAGTAGACTGCATCGTAAGTCTACACGTATGTGTAGACATATAATACAGTCTACTTTCGCGATACAGATCAGAGATATGACGAAAAGCATGTAAAGAGTTATCTTGACACCGGTTTAAAGCTTGTTTCCAAGCTTTTCCACCGTCCAGAATCCAAATATGAGCAAAAGAAGCAACCTTTACGATCCACTTGTGGATAAAATCGAAATTATGACGTTTGTGTTTATGAAAATGAGAGTTATGAGGATTGTTTAGATGAAAATAGAGAGGAAATGAGAGGAAATGAAGTATTGTTTGTTTAGAAAGTGAAATAAGTGGCTGAAATTTCATAAACACAAGCTTAAAGAGCTCATCAATGGTGGTTTTGGGTGGTTGCAAATATTGATGACAATGGCATTATGATAAATAAGGAGAAATGTTTAGGGTGTAATAGGTTTTTAATAATTTTCGAAAATAAAATCAGATTTAAAAATAATGGCAATTTGGTAAATAAGTGGAAACATGAGGAGAGTTTAGGTTTTTTATGAGTGAATAGTAATGGACAAAAAAAAAAAGGTTGGTTTTGTATTTGACTTGAAATTTTAGGTTGGTTTTGCAAAAACCCCTTTAAAATTTGGCCATAAATTGAACAACGCTCTCATGTTTTTTTTTTTTTTTTTTGATAAAATGCCCTCATGGTATTGTTTCTTGTTTAAACTGATTTTTCTTGGGTTCACTACTCAGAAATGTCAAATCTTTTGTTTTCTTGTTTTTTCCGATAAAACAATAATATAAATTAAATGCAAATAAAACACTGATCTCCTGTTTTTAGAATATTAACCTTTGTGTTTAGCATGGATTTAGTTTTGCCATTTACTTATGAAAGTTTTCATTATAAAAATAAACTAGCTGTATTTTTAGTTTTGATGTAGTGTAAAATATTTGGACTGGTTCTAGTGATATACAATAAATTTTATATATTCAGTGAATTTAATTCAATACTATCACTCTTTTACATAAATTCCAGAGTCAAAAGAAAACAAACATAATACCAAACCTTAATATATAAAAAACTACTGTTTTAATTTCTAAATTTTAGGTACAACATATATTTTTTAAAATCAAGTAAAAATCCGAAAAAAGAAGGAAGTAAAATTCCAAAAACTAAACATAAATATTTAGAGAAATCAGAAATGATAAGAAATTATTTAGATGTTATTTGAGCAGCGTGTGAAAAACACTTAAGAGTAAGAAATGGTGGAGGAGCGCGTGAGGGAACAAAGAATACAAGAAAAAGCCTAGAGATGTACCATACCAAATTATAAATGGCGGCAAATTCTAGGTTGCTTGCCACGTTACTATAGCTGATGGTAAGAGCACCCACATTGATGAACCCCCCCTTGGGGGTTCATAGAAATAAAAAAATAATTTTTTTTTTGTTATTTTCGTTTACTTTTTAAAAAAAAAAAAAAAAAAAAAAATTAATTTTGGACCAATCATATGTTGACACGTGGTGAACCCGGGGTCATCGGGGTTCACCGCGGTGAACTTTTGAGAGAGGGGTTCATAGAAATCTGATTTTAATATTGTTTTTTTTTCTCGGTTTCCGTGTGAACTCCCCCCATCAACCCTTGATGGGGGTGCTCTAAGATTTTTAACAACCATATATGTACTTTATTTTGAAAAGATATTTACTCTAAACTGATTTAAACAAATAGAGATAAATACAAAACGTCCTACATTAATATTCACTAGATCTTGACCCGCATAACCGTGCGGGTATTTTAATACGAAAATGTTTGAAATTATATAATATTTCCTCCGTTTCAAATTAAATGATGTTTTAAAAGTTTTTTTTTCAAAATATAATATGTTTTGGGATTTAAGATATATTTTGAGGTTTTAAGATTACTTTAATTTTATTGAAAACTTTTCAACCAATAAAATTTTATTGTCTTTTTAATAATTGGTTGAATGATTTTAAAATTCCATCTTTAAAAATATTTTTGTAAAAGAATGTAAATTTCTTAATCTTTGCAATTATCCAAAACATCATATAGTAAGAAACGGAGGGAGTAAAATTTATCAATAAATAACTATAATTTGATTTTGTATACAACCTAATTTTATAATAATATTTATGTGGCTTATAATATTATTAATTTAAAATTTATAAATTTTTATTTTTGTAACAATTTTTAAAAACATTATTATGTAACGTTACTAATTTTAATCTTTCTAAATTTGAAATATATGTAAGAAGTAAATTAAGTTGGACCTACATAATACATAAACAAAATTTTGGGATATTATTAAATGTATTTACATAGTTTTAATTTTTAGTTTATAAATAAAAATGAGTTAAAATTTTAATTATATTTTATGATAATTAAAATTTTAATTAAATATTTTTTGAAACTATATATTGAAAAGATTTTAAAAGATTTTGTCAGACTCTTCTTAAAATTATTTATTTGTATTTCAAATAAAAATTAAAGATATGTAAATATATTATAATGATGTTATGTAAAAATTTATATCATTTTTAAGGATGGTCCAAATTAAAAAAAATCACACATAAATAGTTTTTGAAACTATATACTGAAAAGATTTTAAAAGATATTTAAGAGATTTTGTCAGAATCTTCTTAGAATTATTTATTTGTATTTCAAATAAAAATTAAAGATATGTAAATATATTATAATGATGTTATGTAAAACTTTATATCATTTTTAAGGATGGTCCAAACTAAAAAATCACACATGAAATAAGTCATGACTTCTCTTTTAATATAATAGATACTTCCATAGTTAAGTTATTTGATATACAACATTATAGGAAAAATTATAATCACAATACAAAGTATTCAAATTTTGAACACATCGTTTTAGTAAAGTTTCTTTAAAATTTCTAACAGTTTAGGACTCATTTAAGAGAGATACATTTAGTACGTGCAATCTCTATATATCATCATTAATTAGTCATACATGTCGGCTAAGCAAGTGGAATGATAACCAAATAGATGTAATTTAGTTAAACAAAAAATTGTTAGAGAAAAAGTAAATTATGACTACTAGTATTATGAAATTACTGATGAGAGAAAAAAGACGGGACCGGGTATCTTGGGGTCAACATGATATGAATAGGTAAGTTGAAGATTGAAAGCACGTGCTGACTCAGCACATACCATAGGCAACAAGAAGAGGCCAAAAATCATATATCACCACATGTCACTATACCATTTGCTCTCATGAATGCGGCGTCCAGTACTTTTTAAACGATTTATTTACTCCAAAAGTACCCCTGGGTTGTAGCGAATACTCCCTCTGTTTCATATTAAGTGTCGTTATAGAGAATTTTTTGTGTTACAAAATAAGTGTCGTTTTCAGTTTTCAATGCAAAATTTATTAATTTTATTATGTAATTTTTTTTCTATTGGTTAAAATATGATTAGGTGTATGAATAACTGTGCTTTTATATAGGAAATATGTAAAATTAATTGTTTTCTTAATCCGTGTGCACAGCTGTAGAATGACACTTATAATGAAACAGAGGGAGTAATATCGAAACTATCATCAATGGATAGGGATGAACACGAATCAGATATCCAGGGTTTTTAAAGTATTTGTGATTTATTTCGAATGTTACATATATCTAATTTTGGTATTTGTTTTGCTTCGAAAAAATACGGATATCCGAAAAATAAATAGATATTTACGGATATTTACGAATATTTACGAATATCTCATCCATTTTGATTAATACAAATGATCTTAAGATTTTGATACAAATTTGCTTTGCAAAAATATTTTTTGTATGATATATAAAATAAAAATTAAAAGAACTAGTGAATTTACATATTTTGTAATTTTTTTAAGTTTAAGTTACAATTATAATACCACAAAATTTAAGGAAAAAAATATAATTGTCATAAATTTCTCTCTTTTATGTAATACTTTTATATAAGTAATAATGTGAATAAAATTGTTCAAAAATCATGTGCTAGAATAATAATTATAAATTTTTTACATTTATAATTTTAAAATATTATCAAGATGTACATATATTTATATATTTCCGGATCGGATCGGATATCTGTTTCCCAAAATTTAAATATTTATGATTTGCTTCGATTTTAAAGGATATTGAATTTTATTATTTTCTTTGATTCGAAAGTTTACGGATATCCGGAATTTTTGGATCGAATCGAAACGAATCACGAATCGAATCAAATATAACGGATAAAATGTCAATCCCTATCGGTAGAGGAGCAGAAAAGAACAGAAAATTAAAAAAAAAAGTTAATACAAGAGATACAATAACTTTTATTATTAAAATAATGATAATATCTCTCCTCCTGATCCTATAAATGAGGACTCTGAGGAGTGAGCTTGAGAATTCTTCTGCACACCTTTAGGAAAATCACTGTGTTTCAAAACAAGCTTTCTCTCTCTCACCCACCAATAGCGAAAAATAAAATCTTTCATCTTCTTTCACTTTTTTTGATTCAATACTCGTGTTAAATCTCAGAAGTTTTATTTCTAGAGCAATCTCTTCTCAACAAACTCAGAAACTTTCCTTAATTCACAAGTTCTTATTCATTTTAAATTCCTTTTTTTTTTTTTTCATTTTGATGCGAAGATAGAGAAAAATGGATGAATATATGGATCTTCGACCACTTAAGTACACAGAGCACAAAACATCAATCACTAAATACACCAACAATACTTCACCGTTAAAAAACATCTCCGGCGAAACTCGACCAGGCTCAGTGAGACTCGTTAGTGTATTTGTGACCGATCCTTATGCAACCGATTCATCAAGTGACGAAGAAGAAGACTTCCTCTTCCCTCACCGGCGAGTCAAGAGATTCGTTAACGAGATCAAAGTTGAGCCAGGCTGTAACAACGTCAATACCACCAGAGTTTCTATGAAGGAAAGGATAAGACTCTCCGTTGAGACTCAGTCTCCGGCGGCTTCAAATCGTAACCGTTCTCTCAAAGTCTCAATCCCCTCCGCCCAAAATGGGAGGAAGTTCCGCGGTGTTAGACAACGGCCATGGGGGAAATGGGCGGCTGAGATTCGAGATCCGGAGCAGCGTCGGAGGATTTGGCTTGGTACTTTCGAGACGGCGGAGGAAGCTGCTGTGGTTTATGATAACGCTGCTATTAGACTCCGTGGACCGGACGCGTTAACCAACTTCTCTGTACGGCCTCAGTCTCAAGAAGAAGGAGAAGAACTGGAACAACCGGTTATTGATAAACCAGAAAGCATCATTACAACGACAACAACAACATCGAGTTCTGAATCAACAGAAGATTTTCAACATATTTCATCTCCGACATCGGTTCTCATTATCCAAGCATCCGAAGAAATGCAACAAATACAGCAGCCGTTTAAACCAGCTAAACCGGAACCAGAGAGTTCAGATGCACCATGGTGGCATACCGGTTCAAGTGAATCCGATGATTCGTTTCCATTGGATACCCCATTTCTAGACAACTATTTCAACGAATCTCCACCGGATATTTCAATATTCGATCAACCAATGGGTCAAGTATTTTCAGGAAATGATGATATCTTTGGTGATATGTTCTTGGGTGGTCAAAGTATTATGAACATTGAAGATGAGTTTACATCGTCCAGTATCAAAGATATCGGTTCAATGTTCAGTGACTTTGATGATTCTTTGATATCAGAACTATTAGTGGTTTAATATCATGAGTGACGAGAAGCTAAGAAGAAACAAACCACCAGCAAATATCTATGGTGCTACTGAGAAATTTTGATGTTTTTAATTATTTAATGAGCTTTTATAGATTTAACAATTTAGTTTTGTCAGGAGACTGTAAAACAGTTTTGGAGAAATAGTGGCAAATTGTTAATGCATTTGTTCTTATTTATTAATTAAATGTGTTCTTAGTTGCACGAACGTGTTTAATTTTTAGACTCTAATATTTACAGCATTTGCATTTATTTACTTTGTTAATTATTCAATTTGGAACAGCCAAAGTGGCATTCTCTTTGTCAATGTCTAACTATGAGGCGCAAATTACGGTCGTGGCCAGTGAACTGAAGGGTTTTGTGTTTGGTCTGATTTAAGTTTTTTATTTATTTATTTTCTGATTTATGTTTTCTTCCAAACTATAACAGAAGAGTGTTGAGTTTTTAGTGGTAAGAATATCATTTCACAATGTTCAGAAAAAAGTATATTATTTCACAGAAATGTGCATATGCGGTTACACAGAATTCTCATATATAGTAGTAATATGGCTTTTAATATTTACCTAGTTTCTAACCCACACTTACAAAACATAAAAATATTCTTTAAAAATTAATCTACGAATTCAAATAATTTAACATTTTTTATTTACTGTATCTGAATATATATATATATATAATTTTTTATATATATATATATATATAATCATATTGTTTATCATTGTTAAATAAGAAACTTATAGAAGATATTATTTAATTTTAATTTTCAGTCATTTTTAAATGCTAATTTATTATGATATTGCAATACTGAAAAAAATTAATTACATACAAGATCTGATAACCGATAATATTACATGTCTTATGAAATCTACATCTAACTGTATCTAAACTATCCTATGAAAAAATATTTACGTATAATTTAGGAAGTTACAGATATTTAGAGATAATTTTCGCAAATCATTTCTGCAGTTAAGATATATTTAGTAAATCTATCTTTGTATTCAAAGAAAAATTCGATGATATGTAGAAAAAATTGGATACGGAAATTGATAAAATATAGAAGATTGAAAGTGAAATTTTCTTCTGTTAATAGCTATATTTGCATTTAAGTGCATTAGTTGACACTTTGCGATCGCTCAAGTATGTAATATTTATTATTGTACAGATGGTAGTTTATATATCTACATTATTTAGAAAAAAGGGTCAGTTTAAACCTAGGTTCTCTGGCGGCTGTGGCGATGGGTATGGCGACGAGATCCTCCGGCTCTGTTTCGTCTCTCTCTGTGTAAGATCTCATCATCCTTTGGTGTGAGATTGGTAGGGGAGATCCTTGTCCACGGGATTCTCATTATTGGATGCAAGTTTTGATTGGGAATGATCCTTGTTGTTTCCTTTTCATCACTTCTCTGGTTACCTTTCAAAGTACTCTCATCTGAACTCCCTTGAGTTACTTGCGACTCAGCCTTTTCGATCCTGATCTCATTGTCCTTTGACGTGGGTTGTGGAAAATGGTTACGCGGCTCCATCTTTTCCGGTCCGTCTCCTTGGTCTCCGTTGGGATCTTTGTGAGACTGATCTTCCTGTTCCTTGATCACCATCGCGAGCTTTACAGAACTTCACTGTGGATCGGCTCATTCACCTACTCAGAACGTTTCTCTGCGATTACTTACTGAGCATTCTACCGATGGTTAAGGCTTCATGATCTCTCTGGACCGTTGTGTTGGGTTGCATCGATCTGTTTTGACTGAGTTTGGTGGTGTTAACTGATCGACATAGTCTCTGGTTGGTACTCTATTTTTCTTATTGAAAACAGAGTAATACGTGGGTTTTTTCGTATCGTTACGGTCTCTGTGACTGAGCGTAACAGCCCTTGCTTGGCTTCGAATATGGGCTCCTATGGTGGGGCTTTGTCAGGAGATGTTAAAGGCAAGGGGATTATGAGGGATGAAGAAAAAGAGCCTTTCCGGCTACTCGATGATGAGGACACTCAAGTTTTTCAAGAATTCAGGCTCTCGTTAATTGGGAAGATATTGAATCCAAGAAAACAAAAAGTTGAAAAATTAATCAACTATATGCCAACGCAGAGAGGAATGGAAGATCGAATTTCAGCGAATGATTTGGGCAACGGAAAATTCCTGTTGAATTTTACTAATGAAGAAGATCTCAAGGAAGTATTACGGCAAGGTCCTTTCCATAATAACTTCTGCATGTTCGTGTTAGTGAGGTGGAAGCCTATTGTCCATGATGATTACCCATGGATTATTCCTTTTTGGGTGATTATAACTGGTGTGCCTTTGCACTTATGGACAATAAAAAATCTCCGAGGTCTTGGAGACACTTTGGGGCGTGTGGATACGCTGGAGCTTGAGGAGGGGCGAATGCTTATTGATATTGACATGCGCAAGCCTCTAAAATTCACAAGAATAGCTACAAACTCAGAAGGTGATGCAGTCACAATCAAGAGAACCTATGATCTTCTCTTTAAGCATTGCACCACATGTGGTTTCTTAACCCATGAAAAGGACCATTGTCCTTTGAAACCTCAGCAAAATAATGTTCTTGATCGTGTTATGGCATCAAAAGAGGAGGATCAGAACCTGGGAGTGCGCAGGGATCTTAACATGAGGCTGCACTTCCCTGATATCACATCTAGCTCAGCGGGGAATCAACAGGCCCAAGCCGAGTCCTACAACAAAACAGTCCCTCCACGCCGCAAGGATGGTGCTTACCATCGCACTACTGCTGGAAACTCTGGAAATTATACTAGTAAAGATGATGATCCCACACTCCGTATGAGTTCAGACCATCAACGCATTGACAGGGTGATGCGGAGACGTCATGAAAAACATAACAATAGACAGGTTCAGAACCCCTATACTCGACACCATGACAGTCTTCGGAGGGAGAAGCCCTTTGCTTCTTCTGCTCGTTATGCCCCGTAGGGGAGGATCAGACGGACACTGTGAGAGCTGAGAGAAGACGTGACGGGGAGTCACCAAGCTGGAGAGCTACCGGAAGTCATCGGAGTTTGTCAAGGATTAATCAAAGTGATAGGTTTGAGTGGCGTGAGAAGAATAGAAACTTGAAGAGTTCTGCCTCTGATAGGAAGAAAACATATGTTCGCCATGGTGATCCCTCTGATCACCAAGCTTATCGAAGGATGAGAACTCACGAGAAGGATGTAACTGCTGAAAACAATGGCCCTCGATCTCCTCACACATCTCGTAATGCTGATCCACGGAATGAGAGCATGGATATGGCTTCACAAGGTCTTGTTTCTGAGCCTTTTACCGGCACTGGTAGTTCTCATCAGATTAGCCGTAGAGCTGAAGCTCAAGAGTTTTATATTCCAGCTTGGAATAGAAGCTCACGTAATTGAAGCAAGGATATGACTACTCGCTTTGATCCTTATGACCATGAGGAAGTGGTGGAGGACGCAGCCTTCTCAAGTAATGAGCGTGGCCAAATTGATGGTACAACGGTGAAACATGTAAGTCCACAGAAGTAGAGGCTAGCCAGTACGATTACATCGCCACATATGTAGGATAATGTGACGGTTCGTCCAAAAAGTGTGGTGCGTTCTTTGACATACTACACTGATAATCCTGTGTTTGAAGATGATGATGCACTAGTAATTGAGGCTTTATCTGATATGGGACCTGCTACGAAAGAGGAAGTGGAAAGAATGGATGAGAAAGATGATCTTTTTGATGAGGAACTCAAGGACTTGGAGGTACCGCCGTCACAACATATCTCACGCCACACTGAGAAGGATAGAAGCTCAAGAAACTCGAAAGGAGGGAGGAACGGGAACAGACGAACTCTTAAGGAAAAAAGAGGTTCTCCGTCGGGGATCTCCACGCTTGAGAGTCCTAAGTTCTACTACTCAGAGGCACACTGGTGAGAAGGCTAAACCAAAACATCTTAGCCTTAATGCTAGAGTGGATCGGTCTAAGACAAACAAAGCAAGTGGTTCGGTGGGATCCAAAGACCCACCCCACTTTCATCCATGAAGACACTCAGTTGGAACTGTCGAGGGATTGGGACTGACCTCACAGTTCGACGCCTTACGGAGATGTGTCAGAAGCATCGCCCAGGACTAGTGTTCCTTTCTGAAACAAAGAATAGGAGGCTGCTGTTGCAAGACATTCAAGCCGACTTAGGATTTGATCGTTTGTTTACCGTTGAGCCACTTGGTCTCAGCGGAGGTTTAGCTTTATTTTTTATGGATGATTTTCAAGTTAAGATTTTATTTTCGAATAACAGAATGATTGACATTGAGGCAGTCATTGATAGAATAAAAGTCTATATGACATTTGTTTATGGGGATTTTGTAGTAGAAAGAAGAGACCTAGTTTGGGAACGTCTTACACGTTTCTCAACAACACGAAATGGACCTTGGTTTATGATTGGTGATTTTAATGAAATTACTTGTCATGAAGAGAAGGAAGGGGGTAGGCAACTCACTGATAGCTCCTTCCTGCCTTTTAAGCAGATGCTCAATGACAGTGGTATGCTGGATTTCCCTTTTACATGAAACATGCTTTCCTGGGTAGGAAGACGAGCATGAAATGCTACTGTTAGATGTCATCTTGATAGGGCTGTGGGTAATGAGAATTGGCTTGAGAAGTTTCCTCAATCAAAAGTGCAATACCTAAGGCTATGGGGTTCAAATCATCGTCCAATCCTAGCATATATTCTTAAAAAAAAGCCACGAAGGTAAAAAAACTTTAAATTTGATAAGCGATGGCTTCAGAATGAGGAACTTAGATAGATTATACTTGAAGAATGGAAATCACCAGACCTACCCCCAGATGCGAGCATTATGGATCATACTGCAAGCTGTAGACGAGCGTTATGTGATTGGAAAATACAGCACAATCTGAATTCAGAGAAGAGTGTGGAGGAGCTAAAGGAGAAGGTGGATCGATTATCCTCCAACGATGATGCCACTACAGAGGAGATCGCTGCGGCGTTAAAAGAATTGTCTGACGCACTTAGGCAGAGGAAATGTTCTGGTTGCAGAAGTGTAGGGTTTTCTGGTTAAGGGAGGGCGATCGAAACACTAATTTTTTTCACGCCCTCATGAAGCAACAAAGAGCGAAGAACATGATAACCCAACTACTGGATGCAGATGGGAATGTTGTGGACGATGAGGAAGGCTTAGTAGCCATTGCTACTAGCTA